ATCGACGATTGAAGCCAAAATCATTTGGGAATTACCAAATTTAAGGATTGCAAATCCGTTAATAATTTATCGTTCTAATCCAATCTATTTAATATGTATTTGTAACGTATATATTTCAGATATTTATTTGTCAAATAAATGAAAATATTCTTGTATATTTCTGTAATGCGCAATTACACAAATATGCATATATAAATTATAAGTTATCAATCATCATACTGATAAAGTTTAATATAAACCAAAAATGCTTGAATATTCATGACAGATCTTTAAAATAACATTAAGAACTGAAAATTAAGCATGTGCAAAAATAATGAAAATAAGAAATTTCGAGCTTAAAAGTAAAACTAATTTTTATATAAAATATCTCGTAATCAAATTTGCATATCTGGTTTGAAACCTGTGTTGCATTGATCCCAAATCCCAAAGTAATTTCATGCTTGCATCGCTTTCCCCGAGAATCCTCATCAGCTTTGGCATATCGTTAATACTTTTCATGTTTTCCAGCAATATTGTTGTTTTGTTATCCTTTTAGCTAATTTCTCAACCTTTTCTATCAACATTTTTCAGATTGTTTATCACTAAAATTCGTTTTTGATTAAATGGCTCTGAAGCTATTTTATTGAAGAAGTCGACATTAAGTGATAAAATATATTTAATGGTACTGAGTTGATACGTGGTAGAAATTCTAAATTTTTGAGAAATTTTTGATGTGCAAAAATTTTAATTAACGTTAAACATAAACAATAAATTTGCTATTTAAATTATATGAATAAAAAACAAATTCAGTAGTTTTGATGGGACAAAGTTGATCAAATTTAAATCCAACATATACTTTGGTAGTATTATAATAAGGCCTCAAACTTATTTGATTATATTTTCAAATATTTGATGTAATACAAAACAAATGTATATTTCTGAGGCAATTGGATTATTTTACTTTCAACTATTCAGTGATGAGATATACAACTGACTGAGCCAATATAACAATTGCAAAAGTATAATTGGGGTCAGATGGGAGAGAATTAATATAATTAATGTTTGGGTTCTGTACGTAATTTGAGAATCTCTTCAAGCATCACCACAAGCACACATGATCATTTTAAGTTCCGCAAAGTTGTGACCTTCTGATTAACCTTTTTTTAATATCATTAAAGTTCATGCAACAAGCTTGTGAAAAAATCTAGTTCAAGGGATGAGATAAACATGCATGATATTAAATTTTTTAATCCAAATCACTTATATATTCAACTTGTTGGTTTAGAAACTTTGTAAATATGCTATTATTTTTGTCACTGATATTTTTTTAATAATTTTCATATCAGTTAGAAAAAATTGTGCTTCAATAAAAAGCTGAAATCCTTTAAAAGAATGAGATCAATAGATTCAGTTGTTAATTTAAAAGCAAATAAATCCGTTTTCGATCTTAACTGATTTCTCTTTTACGACAGTTACTACTTATAATAGATTATTGCAAAGTAATCGGACAATGATAGTAATATACTAAATTTACTAACAAGGAAATGAAAATCAAATCGTCATAATTAACTTATTATGATCCAGTAATAACTGAAAGAGTTGGTCATTAAAAAATCGAAGAATAATAATTAATATTTTTATGTGTTTGTAGATGAAGTCTCTCTCGATTGCTCCTTCTTTGCAAAATTATTAAAACTGGTGGTTGAGGTTATTAATATGAATCTAAGATTATTAAATTATACTAGCACTTTCATATTTTAGCATACTTGGGAATAAGAAAATTGAATTGTGATAATTTTTGCTGTTATCCAACTATTTTAATTGGATTATATTTTTTGCATAATTTTCTCAACAAAATATTTTTTATTAATATGATCTTGATCTTAATTTCTTTGTAAATTTAAATGTAGAGCAAACTTGACATAATAAGCAGCTATCACTAAACTGACGTTAGATCAAAACTCCACTATTATTTATTCAAATTTGTATTCAAGCAAGGAATCATATCTGTCAAGACGTAAATTTTAACTATTTGATTTAATAAAAAATAGTAATTAATCAAAACAATTTTGGTATCTTTCATTGCTCATTTAGAATAAAAATTAAATGAAATTAAGAATTAATTTTTAGATTGAAAGTTATCATCCAAAAAATTTGCAAAAAATATGAAAAAAATTCAAATGACTTTTAGATAAAGTTTATTAAATCAATACAAATGTTATAAGTGTAATTTTTAGAATACTAGTTCAATTTGAAAACAATTTTTAAACTTACTTGTTGAACAATTTTTCAGCAAATCTCTTGAAATATATTTGAGAGATAAAATTTCTTCAGTTATAATTCTTTTAAAAGATTCAAATAATTTTCTTGTATTTCATATTTTTAAAAACTCCAATAAAAATACTTTAATTATCAAACGTGAATTAATTTTAAACTCCTAATTTTACAGTTATGCTCAAATTTTGATTTAGTCTTAATCACTAATTAGCGCAAGTTTGTGTTGCAACTGATTCAGACTCTAATATAATATCAGAAATAAATATTATATCAAAACTGAAGAGAATACAATACGATAACTATTACCTTATAATTAAACAACGTAGCATTTAAAATCATTACACTACTTGAATGAATTATAAAAATTGTACAAAATTTTCAGTTTTCGATGAATACAAACTTAATTTCGTTTCGCTGTAAGTTTAAAAGTATACTGTCATAAGTGGTGTCATAACTTTTCGTTTCTGTTTTCCAACATTAAAATATAGTCAGTTGTAATGTAAAATGACCGGCCACTATAATGTAAAATGAAATACCTGGACATTGCAATCAAAAAATGCAATCCTTGTAAACTCGTATAAATTCTACCAAAAGATAGCAACTATATTTTAGTGGAACTAATCTAAAAATATGAATTTAAGTTAAAAAATTAACCAATACAAGTAATGAATAAGTCAATACTGTTAAATTCAGTTTTTCATGATTTAACTATTTAAAGTTGTGATTGAGTAATTTGATTTAAATTGTTAGACATTTTTTAAAACATGCAAAAGCGAAGCATTTCACTGTTAAATTTAAAATCAAAAAAAAGTTTGTCGTGGTGATACTTCATTGAATTACAAATGATATTACAAAGCAAAATAAGTGTGACATTTCATCGTTGAATTTGAAAATGAATACTTGAATTTACAGCTTATTAATCTACTTATTACACGTGTATTGAGTAAATTATATGTTAGAAATGTTATTTTGGTAAAACGTAAAATTTTTACGTTTTTTTTTCAAGTAATTATTCACTTTTATGTATACTCAAATTTTTAAAATTTTGAATAAATTTAGAAACATACTTTGTTAGATATTACTTCGTGGTTTGAAAGTAAATTAAGTTTAAATACTACAAAAAAACATTTTAAGTTCATTCCTTTAGCAGTCAAAAAAGTATTAGAAGCTGCAAATTATTTCTTTAACTTGATGCTTGAAAATTTTGATGCTTCAAACAGCACTGAATTCATATTGTGTATAATTGGATTAAGCGGAGAATCACTTCAATAATTTTATTTAATTTTAATAATAAGCTCAAAATGCTCAATTCACCTCACTAATTTTGTAAAATGAAAGTAATTGTGATGCTTATTTGTCCAAAAACATAGGAAATATATATATATATATACTTAATATTTACTAGTTTTCACTTTCTGAAATAAACATAGCCCCAAATACCAAAATGCATTATATAATAGATTACTCACTTTATGTAAAAGTTTCCAAACTTTTGCAAATATCAAAAGTTTCATATACGAATTTTAAATACAGTCTACACCACTTAGACAAAAAAAATTGTACTCGAATAGTGTAACCAATATCTACAAACCTTATTGTACAGTATTTTTTGATTTCATGAGTAAATAAGTATGTGTCAATAAAAAATGTTCACAATGTCTTTAAACTGTATTTTACTGTACATTTTTACGTTAACAATGATGTGAACCCAATTTCTATCTCGTTTTATCTACACAGTATTTATTTTTGCAAATAACAAAAAATTTTGCGTGATCACTTTATTGTCCACAAATTCTGGTTAACTTTATAATATTATTTACATTTCATTGGAAAGTTCACTTCTTTGAACCAAAAACATTAAAATGAAATTTTGAGTTAAAAAATGTTTCACATACTATTATACGGAATTTATGATTATTATATTAATTTATGGTTTTTAGTCAATACTGATCATTTTCAGTTTGATTTTTATTGTGTCACTCATTTTATTTTTATCTTCGATTATTTACTGATATTATTACTTTAATTGAGTTTTTATCTTAATTTCCAAAATGGTTGGATTTGGGTACGAGAGAAGTTGATGCAGTATCTGACATCATCAAATAATTTCAGTAATAATTTTTTGATTACTTACTATTTCAACTGTCTAATGATGTAGACTATTGATCTGAATAATATTTTGATTCTGATTTCCATGTTTTGAATTTTGTTAAATATGATTTAAGAAATACGTTTTACATTCATAAAATTACAAGCATTTCAAGCATCTCTTAATAAGCAAAGTATTAACATTAATCAGGTGAACTGATTAGATGCGAGTAAATATAGAATAGTAACTTTTAGAAAATTTGGATTACAAAAATTTTCGAGTGTTTAAAAAATGGGCCAAGAAAAATTTGCATATAAACACAAAATAAGTAATTTTAAAATGAGTGTTAATCCTTATTTCATTGCGTCAAATGTTATAAATTTTGAATCATTGAAATCATTAGTGATTTTTTTTTACTTTGAAATAATACGGTAATTCCTGAAAATGCTTTAAGCAGAAATGATTCTGGCTGTTTTTTAGAAGTCAAGTAAATTTAGAATACCAAAAAATATTTGCGTAATATTCAAGTTTGGTTTAAAATAAAACAATATTGAACAAGACAGTAATTAATCTATTTAAATCGTAGAAGCAACTACATCAAGAACTATCTTTATCACAAAAAGTATACTGTACCGGTACATTATCATATCGTCTACTATTGAAAGATAATTTTGTCCATTTCAACCAAATGACCACTGAGTACGGTAAATTGTAACGGTTCAGTTACCGCTGAAAGCAGAAGAATTACTTTTTTGCGCTTATAAAATGCATTTTTTTACTTATAAATAAATAAGCAGCACATTTAAGAAAAACGCTTAATAATAAAAATATAAATAAATACTCTGCCAAAAGCTTAATAAGGAAGGGAAGAATGTAAATGAATAATTACAAAAAGCTACACAAAATTAAATTTTCATAACATTTAGATGCTATGAACAAAAAATGTTGAAGAAATCAGAAAAATTTATAAGGATGGTTTTTTGAAAAATAATTATAAACTTAATTTTAAATAATTTTATTAAATGAATTAAAATGTCTGGAAAAAACTTTAAAAAAATATCAACAAGACTGTTGTGTAATGTACTATAAAAAAGTTATTTTTGATGTCTTGCTTCCGTAAAGTAATTAATAATAATAAGAAAATTATTTTTTCAAAATTGTTTATTGAAGTTATTTGAATATGCATATTAAAGAAATATAAATACTTCAAAGTATTATTAAAGACATGTAAAAATATAAAGTTTTATTAAAAAATGTAAACAATTCCCAATAAATAACATAAATATATAAAATATAAACAATCCTAATATGAAACATAGATATGTAAAATATATTTACATAAGACATAAACAATCATAATGTGAAATCTTATTTTTTGAATTAAATTTCTCCAATATTTGATTAGAAAGACTATTAAATAAGCAATTATTTTACCTCGTTTGCGTTTATGCAAATTTTGTCGTTCAATAGACCTAGAAGCTTCATTGAGTGTGAAAATTGCTCTATGCTGACAGTGATGACTGATCATCGGTGATTGTAATTTGTCAATATTCGCATTTAAAATACGACCGTTTATTCGATATGTTTTTCTGATCACTGTTGGATTCATATACTGCCCTTGCTGAAATTAATATTCCCAATAAATTTATCCATAAATACTTGATAAAAAATTAATATTTTCTATCAATATTTCTGAGAAAATTATGCAGCCTTTTAATTCACTGCTTTCAAAGCTATATTAGCAGAACTAAATTCTGCAATAGAATATTATTTCAAAAAAAAAACTGCAAATCAGAAAATACATAATTTTAATCAAAGTAAAAATCAACAAAAGATATTTCAATAGACAAACTGCAAAGAGTAAGAAATAAAAAAATGTATCCCATGACAACTTTCGTATGTTAAGTATAATAATAACAAATATATGTATACTAATAATATTTACCAAGAAATCATTCAAGAAATTACGAATATATTAATAATATTCTTAATAATAATAATAACACATATTACAAACAATATTTTCAGAAATTATGAATATATTAATAATATTTCCCAAAATTTATGTTCCATTACTAGGAATTATTTGATAATTTTAATCATTTTTATAAAATTTTAAATTTAATACCTCCATTTTTTCAATAAGATCAATGAGACTAATTGGTGCAGCTACGATACTCCGATCCAATTCTTTGATAAAACATCGATTTGATATTATATCCACTATTGCTGTCAAATTCTATCAGAAAATTATCACAATATGCAAGAGAAAGAGGATAATAATTATTAGGTTGTTTATATTTAGTGCAAAAAAATACTGTACATTAAAGACTAATTAACTGCCTCTCTAAATTTTTACTATATCACAATTTTTGTAGTGTTTTACAGTATAATTATGTTTGTGTAATTAATCGAATGTAATACATTTTGTTCAGTTATATATAAATCTGTTCAGCTTATGAATAATGGAATCAAAAATGAACATTAACAATACAATTGCAAAGCACAAATTTGGATCAACTTTTGATATTAGCATTCTCAATTACTTACTTCATTATCGTTGAAAATTAGTGCAGCAAAAAAAGTTTTTAAATAATTTCAGCAAAAAAACTTTTTTTTATTTGTGAGACAGATTTACTTATTTTTTATTCTTAATTTATTTAAATGACAGTAATATTATAATTACAGTACCCTTTTAAAGTCATGCACGAATACGGCTGGACGGTTTGATCCAAATCGTGGCACACTGATCCTTTCATAATACTAAAAAATATTTTCACGCATATATATAGAATAATTTGAGATAAAAATTATCAAGAAAGAATTATTAATTTTTTATCGATTATTTATCAATGCTTATGTGATAATTCTTCTAGCAATTTGGCTAGTTTTACCTAGTCTAGTCCGAATAAATAATGAACAAACATATTCACGGATCATAAAAGTATACGTATGAATGACTATTGGTGCTTATTCTCCTATGAACAGCTTGAACCATTTCTACAAGACATTTCTTCAAGTAGTAATAAAGTTTGCTGAGCTAAAGGGAAATACTGAAATGTGTCAAAGTAAGCATATTTCAGAGTGTATGTATCCCAGTGAGTTTTAGAATTTTAAAAGTAAAAATATTCAGATGTCAAATCTTTCTGAATGATCAGCACTGTTTGATGATCATATTGGATGTGATCTGCAATCATTTCAATAATGAAATGGACGTAATTTGAAATAAAACCAAAATGTATTAGTTTACTACATTAAAGTTTTACTTAAATATTATGCACAATAGCATGAATGCCCACTTCATCTGGATTAATTTCCACGCTTTCTTCTAGATGTTCATTACGACCACGTTGCGTGAAACTTGTTCCACACCAACCATAAAAAGTTGGACGACGATGAAGCTGACGATAAAAAAATGTTCCAGCCATAAATGAAGCTACTAATAACCAAAGTAACAAAAGCATCATGCATAAAGTTGTAAATCGTTTATGTTGTCTGATTCTAGCTAAAGTACCAATATCATCTTGTTGATAAACTGCTGAATCAACGCAAATTGTTGCTGCTTCGGCTGGTTTCTTGCCATCATGAGCTTCTCTCAGTTTTGTGACCACTGTCATATTTTTTATCTGTACGTGATAAAAAGTCAAAAATTTTTAAATCAACAATTAAAATTTCCATAACGTAAAGTTTTTGGCTATCAAATTGATAAAACGTTATTACACAATATTAAGATAACAAATAATAAATGACAAATAATTAAATTTTCCAATTAATTTACAACTTTAGGCGATAAAAATAAATCTTTTAAATAATATTTTCGAACTATAAGTTTTAGCGATCCACAGAACAATATTAAATTACTTATATAAATGCAAAAGTAACTTATATTTCTTCGATATTTGATTCCACTGTATCAGTATAGCACTAATATTTTAACACTATTTTTTTAGCGATCTAACCTCTTCTAATCTTAATAACTTTTAATATTATTGCTACTAAAAATCCGCTTAAAAAGATCGCTCTCATTAAATTGTATACATTAATTTAATTTATATTAAGTGGAAAAATCTTAATTTTAAATTAATCAAAAAAAATTACTTGGAAAAATCTTAATTTTAAATTAATCAAAAAAAATTACTTTCAATTTTCCACGAATTACCGATTATTTTTAAGTAATATGCTATCTTAAAGTGGACAAGATTTAGACACGTAAAAATTTTGTACAAAAATTGTTAAGAATTTGAATTTGTCTTAGACTAGAACAAAAAATAAATTAAGAATTTGTCATAGACTTTGTTTTATTTACAAGTTGTCAGTGCAGAAAATTTATTGCTGCAATTAATAAATTATAGCAAAAAAATTTTTTTTCTATAGATCAAATATCATTTACTTATTCCTATAGTATAGAATAAGTCAGAGAATGAAGTAAATAAAAGAATAAAAATATAGTAACATTTCTAGCAACAATTTGTTGAAAAGCAAAATTATTATAAAATTTCTCCATAAAAAATAACTTTACCTTTTACTTACTTTCTAATCTGTAAACACTAAGTAAGCAATCATATCAAAACATATTGGATAAAAAAAACCATTAAAAGAGAGGTACAAACTTTTGGTGATTTTACTACCTCGAAAAGATAGATATATTCTCAAAATAACAGCAACCTGTTCATATTTCACCTGTGTTCTTATTTTAAAGCAGTGTGAAAATTTACCGCTTTGAATTATTTATACTTCAAATATGAATGCACTCTGAATCTTTTTAGTTCTTTTATCAGTTATAAACTTCAAAATTAATTTATAAAATGTACTAATTATAAGCAAATCAAAAGGCATAAATGGAAAGCAGTCGTGAAGGAAGAATGTTCAAGCTGCTACCACTCCCCCACTTGTTACCATTTACCAGAACATATGCAAAATCAATGAATCCATATGCTCATGAATTATTCATAATTTACACCAATTCATTATTCCAATAATTTATTTAGTTGCTTTTCATTAATGTAATCTCACGCAGACTATCAACATACTATTTACAGTTCTACATTGCTCTGTATTGATTAACTTTGAATAATAAAAGTTATGTACAAATATTATTAAAATTCTTATCAATAAATAAAAATGTAAATTATACACATACTCGCATTTTCATTTGAAAAAAAAGGTGACGGAACTGTTGAAAAGAAGGTGAAAAATTAAAATTATAAACAAAAGCAAACTTATCTGACGTCTGAATTGATTTTACACGCTAATTAATGAAGGATTTTTAGACAGAAAGAATAATATTGATAGTGTAAGTGATTATGAAGCATTTATCTCCGTGATAGAATTAAAGATCACTAAAGAAATGTAAATATTTGGAAGAAAGATAAGGAATGTAAAAAAACAAAGTGAAAATTTTTGTTTTTACATCTTTAAGTAGTCATAATAAAAGTAAATTGTACAATTAAGAAGTATATTAAATACAATTACATTTATAAAACTTGACGTGAATAAGATTGTATCTTTTTTTTACGTGAAATAGGAATTGACGTAAAGAACAAAAAATTAAGCTATATAGTAGCGCTAAACTTGAGGGAAAATTGACAAGCCTAATTAGCTTCTTTACTTTCGAATGATAGAAACTTGCACTGCATGGCATTGCAACCAAATTTATGAAGTTAACTCTTGGATGAGTAAGTGCACTGAGACTAGAAACTTAGCTTAGACTGAGATGTTAGACAAATAACATAGCTTTCTAGGCATTTTATCGACCCAACCAAGATAGCATATAAGCTTGGAAGTATGTCTACTTAAATGTACAATAAAACATGCTAATTCTTATTTCTTTTTAGTCTTTCCAAGCATAAATAAATGTGCGATAAATTTTTCTACTGCAAGCAATATTTTCAGTGTAACAGAAAGAGCAACACAAAATTTATTTTTTATAATTCTGAAATATTTATTTTCCTTTTTTCTTCCTTTCCATCATTACAAAAGCCTTTTTTAACAAACTTTTTTAGCTGGGATTAAGTTGCATTAAGTGCGAAGATTTATTTGACTAGAGAAAGTAAGAAGTTTGAGAAAAGTTTGAAGAAAAAACAAACTTCGATTTGATATAAAATAAAAAATTACGAGTAAAAACAGTGATAGATTTGCTTTGTAGACAGTCTTAAGCAAATTTTTGTATTTTTGTGAGAATGAAAAAAAAGTGATAAAAAGTGTAGTTATTTTAATATTATATAAATTAAACAGAACAATTTTTTATTCATTTTGCAGTCTGAAAAGATTTTTTTTTTGCAGTTCGATGAAGTAAAAAATGATGATCATTAATGATTTTTTTTTTTTTGCAGAAAGAAAGTTTGGCTTGTAAATATTTCATTTAAATACATTATTGCTTACCGTTTAAGAGTTAAAACCTGTATAAATAATCTAAACTAATTATTATTTTGTTATACAGTAAATGGGTGATTATTATTTAAATTGTAAATTAGTATTTAAATTTAAATTTGTAATTAATATATCGAACATGCATTATTAAATATAACAAAATTGCTAAGTAACTACATTTTAGCTGACTATGAAAGTACTACTTGTTAATTTTCTTGTCAATAACTACACTACAAACTGAAAATTGCAAATACTGAAAACTATACAAAAAATGAAAAAAAAAAAACTGCATAGTATTGATAGTCTGATAAAATTTAATATTATTTTATAACTTCAAAATATCTTATAAGATAATATAACTTTAATATTATTTATAAAATATTTTGAAAATAAAAAAATTATTTTTATACACTTGTCACAATATCTCATATATTTTTATTAATTAGTTCAAATTTCATTATTGCAATTGTTAAACGGTTATTATACCATTTATTTTATTAGAAACAGAAACATAAAATTAAGAAATAAAATAAAAAGTAAAACAAACAGAAATAAAGTCAAAAATAGCGCCTTCATGTGACACTGAGATTAGTTTATCTTTATGACACTATCTAATTTTATCTAAAATGCTCTACAAAATTTGAAACGACACTATTAGTTTTAGTTTTTTTATTTGTTGTCATTTTCAAATTGTAAATGAAAAAAGCTGTTTTGTGATCTATTTTTATAATGATAATATTTTATTCTTACAAAATTTACAATGGATCAGCATCTGTAATCATTATCATTCAATAGCAATCGTTGAAGAAAGGTTTGTATGCGTAATAATGCGAAAAATAACTGCAGTACTTTAAAGAAAGTCTATTCACAACGAAACAAAGCAACCGCGCTAATGACATTATGTAAATTCCCAGAATGCAGATTCAAATTTAAATTCAAGTGAGATGAAGGCAAATATTTTTGAATTCACACTGCTATAAAAGTCTGTGAGTGCAAATATTTGGAATCTGTTGTGGGTGTTCGAAAGTTCCAACTCATATACATATATATTTTATAACAACGAACTACATGTGTGTAATTATCAAAGCTAAAATTGTTAATCAACCAAAGTATATTACAACAGTATTGACAGCAACAAAAGAATGAACGTAATGTGGTTACTGTAACAACGCCATGTTAATATACAAATGTAATTACCCAAAATGCAATCTCAAATTAATTTCTTTCTGTAAATGTAAAGCATTTGCTCAATAAGAAACGACCATATCCATGTGAGTGCCAAATCATTGCAATCCGACAAAATGCATAAGTCATCAGCAAAAATATTCCAATACTTTTCGTTTTATTATTAAATAATAAAACATTTAAAAAGACATAAATGCACTCAAAACGAGGGCTGTCACAAAATATTTTGTCTAATTCATTAAGACATATCAAAGGAATAAATAGAACGTTACGTAAGTAATACGCGAAACAAAAAAAAAAATTGAAACAAATTTAAAACGCGTCTTGTTCGAGACTGAAACTATTACTTATGGCGATAAATGTAACATCTTCAGTGATCTGAAGAATGCAAGAATATGCAGAAGAAAATTTATTTGCTTGTCAATCATGCAATAAGCTCTTTTAAAGCGCAATGAGTGTCCAGAAAATGCTCTACAAATAAGGAATAATACGTTGCACAATCAGTAAGATTAGTATTTCTTGTCCAATTCAATGACTTGTTTGTGATTAGTTCTTCTTCACAAATTCATGTTTTTCTTCCAAAACAACGGAAAAAGCAATCAACATAAAGAGAGAGAGCATCAGACTTCATACTCAAGCTTACTCCATTCTAGCTGTCCTTTCAGTTATCTCTCAACACAGAGAAGTATTTAATGCAGACAGCTTCCCGTTCTTGACACGCAATAAATCATTGCTAGGCGTTAATGCACAGAAAAGGGATCTTTTTTGCTTTCGAAAAAGCATAGGAAAACAGTGAATAGCCCGACGTGAGTGATTTATTGCTACAGGCAGCTCTCCACCTGCTACAGAAATTCAGGCAACGCTAAGAAGAGTCAGTCCGCTGTCTGACGCCTAATAACACCACTTTTAA